ATAAAACGCCAAATCGTCAGTGTTCCACCCGGATCAAGCATATGGTTATTAGCTCTCCCAACCCTATCCACCATAGATTCGCTGCCACCTCTGAAGAAGAGAGAATTTGAAAAACCTGAGCCAAAGCCTTAAGGGGGTATTTATAGAGGAAGCCACCAAAGGGAGGTCCAGTCACGGAGCAACATGTGGGGAGTAGCGTATCCCATGACACGTGTCGCGTGAAGGCAGAGGGTCGGGTAATCATGACGAAAATCTCGAGAGTTGAACCAAGAGTCATAACTGTCACTTTAGAACCTGAATTGGGAACCATCAAGACAACTGCCACTCGGAAGCGTCATGGCCGCACGACTTAGAATTGTCTGTTCTCTACTTCCTTATGTTACGCGCACGCTCGAAACATCAGAAATGGGGAACTTGTGTTGGGATAATTGGCCCACCACGGGATAGGCTGAATACCCCTGCAAATAAATGAATCGAGAAGTTTGTTAAGGCCTTAGGACCGAGCGGCATAACCCGCACAACATGTGCTGCTCGGCACAAGGTCCTTGTGCAAATCATCTGGGCCACTGTGGGTGGACTCTCAACGTACTACCTCGGAATAATTGGCGAGAAAACAAGGATTTAATGGGAAGCGTATTTGATGCACTAGATATGGAAAATGTTATGGTTCGAGGCTAGCCACGCAGGGCTCGCCACATCGCCGCCGCCACCTACCCCTTGGTAGTATAAATAGTACTCCTTACTCCCTCCATCCCGTTGAAAGGTTCTCATTCCTTTTTAGGAAATAATTTACTCTCTTTAATCACGCATTTACTCAAATTCCTCTCCCCCAACTTATCTCCCTTTAATTACTTTCACATTTATGTTTACTTTTTCTAAACCTTCTCTTTCCTTTGTTTTTAATCACCTCTTTTTTTAACCACTTGTCTACAAAATCGTGTAATTTACGCATGGGAACCTTCAAACGGTATGGTGGGAGTAGCATTTATTTCTTGAGATATTACCCGAAAGAGGACTAGAAAGGTTTGAAAATTCCAAAATAAAACTGCCATGTTTTTATTTCATAAATAGGACTAATTACTGCCATGCTTTGGCAATACCAGACTTCAAACACAGCAGTATTTTCCAAATTTGGCAGTAATTACTCCTATTTTGGGAATAAAAAACATTCGGCCATATTTTGGAATTTTCAAACAGTTTTAGTCCTATTTGCGGAACTTTCCCTTATTTCTTTGTAAAAGGTTGACAACCCGTATTCAATAGTATTAGCTTGTCACTCTACTTCTTCTGTACTCTCACAGTTCAGAATAGACTTATAGAGACTCGAGGCTCGACTCGGTAAAGATGTTTTGTAATCGTTCTAAGTGATAAATAGAACTTGACCCACTTTACCCCATACTCTTTCTTGCTATTGTTTGGGCCCTTGAGCCCAGAGGAATAAACCTCAACAAATTTTGTAACACATATCAACATAGCAATCATTATATCAACTACACCTTGGTCACTTCACAAAAAAATCTCACAAAGAAAGAAATTGATTCTTAGATTTTCATATAGAAGATGTTCACTTTCACATAGACTCTTCACAAAGACAAGTGTACCAATATAATAATAAATAGATAGAAGTGTCTTTGTGAGTGTGTAAAAATGACTAAAAATTTCATAACCAATCTCTTTCCAATTCAAGATTCCTTTGTGAGAATATAGTCTAGATGTTTGACCATCCTCTATGGTATATTCTTCTATTTTGTTTGTGAAAATTTCATTATCCATCTTTTCAAATATATTTGAGCTGTTGATTCTGTCTAAAGTATAGAATCTTGGCCTCACACATCTCCAATATATTAAAAATTATATGTCTAGACAATACATCTCCAATACATCTCCAATAATTAGATCTAGGACAAGTTTGATTCTTATATAAAATGAGTGGAGTCGTTTTGAAACTTAACTAATAACATCGGATCGATTTATATTTTAAAAAATCAAGAAATGTTATGGAACCAAATTAATACTAAACGGTTGGTTTTTACTTTCATCGGTTCTTACAAAGTAATTTTGTCCCATAAAAAAATCAATACATTTTACTTTCTGGAACATAAAAACATCAAAATTTAAAATACAAGGAATAAATAATTTTTGAAGCTCTAATCACTTCAAACATCAAAGCTAAATTTAGTGAACATTTAATTGAATGGAAGAAATTTTGAACTTTCATTTATAAATAGAACACAAAAACGTTGGTATTTAATATCAATATAGATTGGATCATCATAGAATAAAAAATGAATTGCCTTGATTCGAATCCCTCAAAACTTAAATAAAACACATTGAAATGCGCGTATATATATAAACATCATTACATTTCAAATTTTAAGAGCATTATCTTAAAAAAAAAGAGCATTATTCACAATAAATCTCATAACTACAATCATAATGAATATCGTAAAGTAAATTTATATGGAACTAGCATGCATTTATTTGGATTACTTTTGTAATTATATGTAATTTATTCGATAGAACAAAGCATCATTTGTAAAACAAATGAGCTTATTCATCCTTATGTACGAAAATAGCTTCCGTTTTCGATCACGACGTCGAGGACCGAATTTTCATCCGTTTTCATCCTTATTGTTTGTTAAATTTACTTTTTTTTTTAAATTGTTATTACTATTATTACTGTAATTTTTAATCTTATGCATGTTTAGGATTTGGAGGGCTGAATTTTCGGCAACATAGGCAAGCAAGCAGCCAAGCAGTGACAACTGCTTACTGCTTAGTTTTGAGAAAGGTGGCGAGCAGTACAAAGTATACAACACACACGGTAAAAGGTTTTTGAGTTAATTAAATTTGAAACAGGTGTACGTATGACTGCCAACGGTGAAAAAAGAAGCGATGATTTTGAATTCTACCCAGACCTGGATAGAGATGTTTAATTTTAGGGAAAATTGTCAAATAGGTCCCACTACTATTGCGAAAATGTCAATTAAGCCCACCAAACCAAATTTCATCCAATTAAACCCATGAGCATTAAAAAAGTGTTCAAATCAGCTTTTTACCAGGTTAGCATTCGGTCATCAGGTAAATAGCAGATGTGGCGATACGTGGCACTTTATACGTTTTCCATTTTTCCTTTTTCTTTTTCTTCCTTTCTTCTTCCTTCCCTTCTCCGCTTTCAATGTCTTCGCCCAGTTTCTCCATGCCTCCCACGCCGTTATTTTCTTTTCCTATCATTCTTGAATTCTCTCCCTTTGGCTTACAAACTCAAATACCCTCTGTTTCTCACTTTTGTATGCTTTTTGGATTTTGACAGAATCACATACCCATCCAATCCATGAATGCATAAGAAATTTGAGAATAATAAATTAGATTCAAATAACAAATTGATGGGGTTCCACGAAGAAGACCGGCACCATGAGATGTGAAGAAGACCGGAATAGGTTCTTTCTCTTTGTCGGAAGTTGGTCGGGGAAGACGACCAGTGGTTGGATCTCATGCGAATGAACCAAGGAACAGTGGTGGTGGCGTCTAAGCAGCAGCATCCAGGGGATGGTGGCTACATCTAGTTGGCGATGTAGAGGCAAAGCTCCAAGAACAGGACCGGACCACGAAGCAATTTTGACTTTGCCGGAAATTGGCCGCGGAAGACGACCGGCGAAGAAAACGAAATGGGGGAAGAAATAGAGAATAGAAGAAAGGAAAAGGAAAATAAAAAGAAATGGGAAAAAATTAAAATCCACATCATCACAACTCAACAAATTAACCTGAAAACCGGGAAGTTACCGGTAAAAAGGCATTTTGAACTTTTTATACCTGTTCATGGATTTAATTGAGGGTTATTTGAGTTGGTGGACTTAATTGACATTTTCACACTAGTAGAGGGACCTATTTGTGTCCTAAATCGCCGACATTGAGTGAACAAGTTGCTAGGGGTAGGAAGATGACATTTCGACTTGGATGCAACGAAGAAGAATGGAAGAAGACATATCGAGAAATTTATCTTTTTATTTATTGTTGCTTTCAAGTTAGGAAGACGACATTTCAACTTGGATGCAACGAAGAAGCATGGAAGAAGACATATCGAGAAATTTATCTTTTTATTTATTGTTGCTTTCATTTTATATGTAAGCTTTTTCTATGTCATACTTATTTTCCTGTTTTCAAACACAGGACTTAAAGTTGTTTTTTGTGGGTCGCTAGGTTTGTTCCTCTGGGGGTTTGTGGCTTTGAATGCCGCTTCGAATCCATCACATGTTTAGTGAAATATACTGAAATATATTAATCAAACATGGATAAACATTCCTAAATCTGATCAAGGAGTGGGGAGGTTTTATGGTTATTGCAAACCTAAAGGAGGTCTGAGGTGTGGGCTGGACATCAGAGTTTTTTATTCTTATAATTTTAGTATAGGTGATTTCCCTTCCCAAAAAAACTTATTATTATTGCTGGTAATAATGAGTATATTATTATTACTAGTTATACTTTCAACTTTTTTTATTTTAATAATGATTCCTTGAACATATTATTTAAAAGTACCGAAAACCAAACAATTAATAAAGAATAGGATTATAGGAACTGAAGCATAACTCACATGGTAGGAAGAAGGTGCCACAAGGGAGATATCTCGATTCAACTCCAAGCAATGACTTAGAATGCAACCTCATTCTTTTTCCATAAGAGTGCGATCAAAGCTTAATTTACACCATCCCAGATAACTTGTCCGATCAATTCTAGGAGGGCCTCGGGGATGGGGTGTAATCCTTTTTAGGAACTGCACCGTTAACCATTTATATTTTATAGCACATGCGTAGGAAACCGAATTGAGTTCTAACGGTTAAATTTCAACTGTTTTCCAGTTCTGAAGTCCCAGCCCTACACAAGACCTCCAATATATTAAAGGAACATATTCAGGCAGGTACTTCAAAGGTCAGAGCAATGTAGGCGCTGGAACATGGGATGTAAAGCAAGGGAAACCTAGATACCAATAAGAGTCTGCGACCTACATAAGTGGGGAGATCCACAACAACGCTTCAAAGAGCAAACAGTTGCTCCAATCTAAAGTAACTTGAAAGTATAACTAGACATATTGTCCATCCCTAAATGCTAAAATGCACGGAATTGTATAATTATGCATGAATTAAGAATTTTAAACAAATCTGATTCCGGAAAATGAGTTCACCTCCCACCATCTTGTGAAGGTATTTATGATAGCAGAGTAAAACACACACACACACACTATGCACATCTGATACAACAAATACAAATACAACCCCAACTACAACAAAATTTCTCCGCCCCGTGATTTTTCTAGCATTTTCCCACATTATCCAGACTTGGAGTAGTAATTCAGCACATCTCACCTATGAAACTGTACGGCCATAACAAACGGATGCAATATAAAGATTCTTTGCCCATTTCTCCTGTAACATCATTATATAAGACAGATCAGCACGAAAAATTGGCACTAAAAAAATTACACATGTATATATAAGGTGCAAGGCCCACACCTTCACGTGAGAACTTGGAAAAGCAGAAGTGCGAAGCGTCTCCTGTGTTTCATCTGTTGGCTTTCTTCTAGGAACACTTAAAACAAACGCAGCTTGATCCCATGTTGCAGCAGTAGCAGTTATACGGTATCCACTTTCCCATCTCCGGTGGATACCTTCGCTAGGGTAAAGAAAATCCAACTCAACAACCTTAAAACCAAAAACATAAATGAATGAGAGGTATAGTTAGAAAATGCAAGTACTATATAACAAAATAACACAACATTGAGTGAACAGAAACCTGGTCTGAAATTCCAGCACCACGAGACATGACTACTGCCCATCTACTGCCAGCAGTGGCCATTGAGGTAACATAGAAGCCTTCTCTCCACTTCTTGTTTATCCACTTAAAAGGAAAAGATTCGCTCACTTTGTAAGATTGCTGCAAATATTGTGTGCCTAGTCGGAGTAAAGAGCAAAGTCAAGCAAAAAACATACACTGGATTTACTCCTGAATTCAAAGAATCCAACAGTTGAACCTTACCTTTTGACATTACCACCAATGAATTCCCATTACTAGCTCCAGCAACAGCACTGATATAAAAATTCTTTTCCCAATGTTCCATGATCCATTCCTTAAAAGACCAAAACAATTAAAACTACACTTTGTGCAGAAAGAAAATGTTACAAGCAAATTATACAAACTAGATGCCCAACTGTTCATCAGTATAACCCAATGTTATTGATGCCACAAGACAATGGCCTATTACACAGACTTGACAGAAGGCAACTTTAAATTAAATAAATATAACTTCGCATCAATATGCATAACAGCCAAAGTTCTTTCCGAGATTACAACAACAATAACAAAAGTTCAGAATTGAAAGAAAACAAATCCTTATTTACCTATTTAGAAAAGTCTGAGTCTCATTCTTTATTTTCTAAACTACACTTTGAGAACAATATCTGAGACACTGATGATGAGAAGTGCATACCTTGTGAAGAAAAAATGGTGACAGCTCATATACTTGCTGAGTGAAACCAGTTCCAGCGTCCATGATTAATGCCCATAGATTATTGCCAGACGCGACACTACTTATAAACAAACCATCTTCATTTCCTTTATCTATGTGCTGAGAGAGTCGTGCATCAGCCACATTGTAGTGATACCTATACGAATGAGAACACAATAGGCAATTATATCCACAATTAATCTCTGATATCCATGGAAGATGGTATTGGTTTTACCTTTGCTTCATAGGTCTGCGAGCATTGTAGACACTAATCCATTGTGTAGCAGGCATCCCCAAGCGCACCTTCTTTTTGGGTTGTTGGTCATCTTCATCTTCAAGAGTGAGACGACCCCTCTTCTGGCCAACCATATAGATAAGCTATAGATGACAAGAATGGAGAACACCAAATCACAAAGTATTACTTTGTCAGGTTCGCATAAAGAATCTAAACTGATGTAAGTTGTACTGCGTAATATAGAGTTTACGAACCTTTTGTGCCCCATCTGTGTTTATTGGCCTGATATCTGGATTTGGTCCCACTATCCCATCAAAAAGGGAGATATATTTTGCATAGTTTGGTTCCTCGTCAAATTTTAAATTCACTACATATTCCACAAACAATTTGAAAGGCTGAGGACAAAAGCAGCACAAAGCTTCAGGAGACGTAGCCATCTTCTTTTTACAGACAAGAAATCCCTTGTTCTCGCCCTAAAGAAGGAAAAAATCATGTTAGTAGTTGCTAGATTTACCAACAAAAAAAAGATGAAAAAAATATGACAGTTAACTTATCTGGTATCAACCTGATAACCTTGCCAAGGCAAACGACCACGTAGGAGGAAAATGAGTGTGTAAGCTAGAGATTCTAAATCATCTCTCCTGCTGCCTGTTCGGCCTAAATGTGCATGGACACTAGCATACCGAACAGTACCCCTAATGAATTGATATATAAATAATAATTAGATATGTAAGGGGTAAGAGTCAACCATGAAAAACATGAATATCAAGATAAAGTAACATACTTTCCTGCATTTCATAAAATCAGTAGTTCAGTATATTATACTCCTTACCTAAATACATCTGGTCTCTGATCATAATCAACATGCAAGCCAGTTGTGGCATCTCGCCATTTAGTTGCTGTAAAGAGTAGAATAACCAACAGAAGTACTTATTAAGATACCTAAACTAAGAGTAAATAGTGCTACAAGTGACAAAATATAAAATTACAGAACAAACGGATTACCTAAGCCAAGATCTACTAAAAATAGTTTTTTCTCATCAGGAGTCCCTGGCTGTCCAAGCAAGAAGTTTTCAGGTTTAACATCCCCATGAACATACCTACCAATGCTCCCACACAGTCACACATGAGTAACACTGGTGCAGCTTTCTAAATTACAATTACTTGTCTGCTTGACAAGTAGTCTTAATTTCAAGTTACTCCCTCCGTCCCACTACATATGTCCCAGTTTTCCTTCTCTGTCCATCTCACTAAGTTTGTCCTATACCATAATTGATAAACTAGTGTGGTTTTAATTCATTCTTACTTTATTTCCCTCAACAACAAAAATCATTCTTACTTTATTATTACTCAAATTCAATATCAAGCACATAGTTCTACTTTTCTTAATACTCGTGCCACTTCCTCATGTCCCTATCTTAGTGGGACGGTGGTAAGTGCTATTTGCAGAAGAAGTCAACGAGATTCTCACCCCCTGAGATGCAACTTCTCCAATATTGATATAGCTTCAATAGCAATGCAGGCTACCATTTCAATGGACATTCTGTACAATATTTTTGACATTAAAGAATTACACAGTACAGCAAAGATGGAAATATCCATCAGTGTGATTGTACTTACGCGTGAGAGTTATTATTCCAAACATCCCATAAACTTGGCCCAAGCATATCCATCACCTACACAATTTAAAACTTATATTTTGACTTGTAACAAACTTAAGCAGGATAATGTGAAAAATACCACACATAATTCACATTACTGCATACTATATCCACACCATGTATAGTACTTTGTGTATAGGAAGTTAAAAGTTGTTCTAAAGGCGTACCATTACATAATAGTCACCTTGTTGGCCCTTATAGTGCACTCGTGGTACACCATGACTTCCACCAAGTGTGCTACAAAGTCAAAGACATGTAACGAATGTTTCAACACAGCAAAAAACAGACTGCCAACTTATCACAGCATAGAGATTATTTGACTTACTTGTAAACCTGCCATTCATATGGTGGTCCATAGTTGCAGCCTTTGCTGTTCCTATGCTCAAATTTTAAGGCCACCTGTAGCAGCAGAAGACAAGAATTAATATAAGCATTGCTCATCCCAAAACATGGAAGATAGAAATATAATCTATTACTCAATATGTAAGAGTGTCACAATATATACTTCTAAAGCTCCTGGACCACTACTTTCAGCGGCACTACCACCAGAGATACGACGACCAACGTAGACTTGTCCAAAGCCTCCTTTTCCAAGCTTTCTTTCTATCTTGTATAACGGGGAACCACCAACTTGAACCTGTCGCAAACTAAAAAATCTCAGGTACATCTCAAGGCATACTGAATTACATAAATAACTGTATTGCTAAAAATGCGTATTTTATTCAACTTTTATAAAACAAATTATGTTCAAAGGGGCTATCAATAAGACAATAACTACTGGTCCATATGATCTTCCATGAAATACAAATGCAAATTATTCATAAAATTATGTTCTGGTTTTGCACTAAAAAATCCAGAACTGTGTGCAAGACAATATCTACTATTATATCTGTTAAATCTCCATAACTCATTACATACTAAAAAGTAAAAAAAGGTGAAAGAAGTATTCCCCTTTCCAAATCCTACGAGATTTGAACTATGCTTTCTCAAATCCAAGCCAATTCACTACAAACAGTCAACTTCAGTAGACTAGTGAACCTCAGTGACTCTAATCTAGCATCTCATCCTCCAACCAGTTGATAATTTGAAAATTTTTAGGATTTAGGAGTCTATTTATTATTAAGCATCCTTTGGTTCGGCACTGAGAATGGAGTAATGATACACGTAGGGCAAGTTTTGGAGGTGGTTCAAGTAATAAATATTATTAATAAGACCATTTGATGATGGCGAGGCTTCATTCGTTCACTTGAGGGGAGAATGTGGGGGGTGATTTTAACTTTGCCATATACGGAGTAACTGTTACCGAAAATGTCACTCAGAAAAAAAACTGGAAAATTTGTCTAGCCTTGAATTGCAAAACAAATGCATCAATCAATCCATCATCCAATCACAAAATAGAAAAACATATGCGCCATCATGGAAAAGAAAAAGATATAGATACATGCAAGTGAAAACACATACAAACGCTAACTTTTGTAAAAAGTATGACACGAGAGGGAAAAAGAAAAGAAAAAAATACATACTTTTTCAGGAATCGGAGCCGCACTTCCATCATCGTCGTCAGCAGGACCCCTTTCAGGGCTCTTAGCGCCACTATCATTTTTTATCCATGTACTTATCAGTAACCCTGTTCTCTCCGTTCAATTTGAATCGCTTCCTCCTCAACCTCCCTCTCTACGGTTCTGCCCTCAGCCGGCGTCGGCACAGCAGCTGCAGGTGGCACCGAACCAACGTTCTCATCAACAGTAAGTACCACCGGCCATGCCGCAGCTGCCGCTCTCCTCCTCCTGGTCCTTGCAGCAATCGCCTCTCCTAAAATCGGACTCTGATAGTCGTTGTTGATATTATTATAGTTGGTGTTATTGTTATTAGTATTATTATTGTCAGTATTTGGCTGTGGCTGCAGTTTTCGGTCTCCGGCCTCTGCGCGCTCCACCACGCAGCACTGGCATCGTTCATCGTCCAATTCTCATACTCTCAAGCCATAACAAATTCAGCACAACTCAAGCTATTCTCGCTCTCCTCTATGCACACGAGATTACAGACACCTTGATGGAACGAGCAATATGACGAAAATTAATGTAACAAAAAACAAAATCGATCGAAAGTAGAGAAGGAAGTGGCGATCAACAAGTGAAAGTTAAAAACAGTTATGATCGCGAAAGAATTAGCGTTTCGTGGCTTAAGAAGATTAGGGATCTGTTCTGGTTTGGAAAATTGAGGAAAAGATTGACACGAGCAGGCGAGCCGCGATATTCGAATGTTTATCCTTGCTTCTAGAATGACACGAGCAGCGAATTCGAGTTTTTTTTTGAAAGCAGTGTTTATCTGTTTTTTATTTCATTATAAAAAATAGAAGGAAAAACTTGATATTTTTTATTTCTGAAATAAAAGTAATTAATTGTTGAGCTTGAAAAATATTCACATACTTATAGTTTAATAATATTAAAATATGAAGAGTAATTACTCATATTTAAAAAATAAAAATATAATAATCTTATTCAAAATTCACAAATATTTTTATTTTTATTTAGGATAATTTCTCTAAAATAAAGCAAGGTCAATTATCAAATGGGT